ACTGTCTACCGTATTTCATCAATTGACGCTTGTTATGAAAACATCATGATTTTTTTGATGAATGTTTATTTTCTGACAGAAATCCTCCTTCAGCATTTTTTGACTTTTTTCTAAATAAGACTTCAAAATCTTGTTGTGTACTTTTGGAAAGTAATTTCCCAGAAATACAAAACAGTCTTTTCTTGCTTGGACTTAGGATGATGGAATTAATTGGGTTTTCAAACCTTGCTCTTTGAAAGCAGCGCTATATATCAGAAGAGAAAATACTTCCCAATCTTCAGAAACTAACAGATTCTGGTTACATTTTCTTCTTGGATACATAGCTGTATGTAGTACACCTTAATGTTCATACTTGGGTCTGTTAAGGCAATGGGATATTTTATCATGAACCTCAGTGACGGGACAGTACCTCAACAGTTTCCCTTGGGCAGCCTGTTCCTGGGCCTCACCACACTTTCTTAGGGGATGTTGTTCCTAATATCCAAACTGAACCTCCCCTGGTGCAACTTGAGGCCATTCCCCATTCTCTCCAGTTCTATCGCTAGTTATGCAGGAGAAAAGGCCAACCCTCACCTTGCCACAAACTCCTTTCTTTTTTCCTTTTTGTTGAGAGCAATAAGATCTTCCCTGAGCCTTCCTCTTCTCCAGACTGAACAATCCCAGTTCCCTCAACCGATCCCTGTAAGACTTGCTCTCCAGAGCCTTCACAGCTTCAGTGCCCTTCTCTGGATGCTCTCAGTGGCCTCAGTGTCTTTCTTGTAGTGAAGGGCCTGAAACTGAACACAGCACTTGAGGTGTAGCCTCACCAGTGCCAAGTACAAGGGAATAATCATGTTCCTGCTCCTGCTGGCAGCACTATTTCTGATACAAGCTAGGATGCCATTGATCTTCTTGTCCACCTCGGCACACTGCTGGTAAAAGGTAAATTAACCTATTAAAAATGTGCACTCAAATACCTCAGTGTTGTGAACCTGACCATGCAAATAAAGAACAAGCAGTCAATTCACTGGAAATTCTTAGTTTTTTTTTCCTAAATTTCCCCTCAGGAGGAAGGCAAGAAACACCGTGAGATTGGAGCAGTGGTAAAAATGCAAATGGTAGAGACCCATTGAAGAGAAACACTACAGGGGCTCCCTCAAGGATGGTTACCTGGATGCTTCCTCCAAATTTTTATCCTCAGTATGTCTGACTTCTTTCTGCAATGTGTGTGTTTGCTGAGAAGTTGGGCGTGCAGACCAGCCAAGCTGCTGTAACATGCCCTGAGCTGAGCTGGAAGGCTCTGCAGTGCACGGTTGAGGCAAGTCTCCAGTCTCCACTCCAGTTGCACCAGTAGGTTGTATTACAAATGGTGTTCCCTGCTCAGCATCTCCATTTACTTAGAGTCTGTCCTGATGATTTAAATAGTGATTTCCCTGCTGGTTGGCTTTGGCAGTGATGTTACTTCTGAGTGCAAAACAGAATGTGGAACCAATCTAATCAAAATTGGATTGCATGACAGCAATGACTTGCAAGGTGACTACTGCTGATTGCATGTGCCAGTTTTTCCTGGTAGTCAAGGTGAGAAGGAGGGAGGAAAGTGCATTTACACGTTGTATTGTAACAGAGGTAGACTGTGTTATTTTCCCTGTTCTGCAGAATGTGACATAAAGCAAGCCCTGAATGCTAGTGATGATCCCACCTGGGTGTAATTAGACCACTGGGTCATGTAGCGTGTTGAAACTCAAGAGCACTTCTGTGCTCTGATTGTGCGGTATTGGAAATCTTGATTGATTTTTAAAGAAAAAAAAAAGTCAAATATATTCTCAATACAGCAATTTAAATGAAGAGGAGAGAATTCTAAATTTGGTACATGGTCATAATCTTATATTCATTCTGAATTTCTGAAAATTAGTGTGGATTTTTTGTACTAATTTATTGAAGTCTCATTAATTAAAAGAGAAGGAAGACTTGACAAAGGCACTATTTAACTGAATAAAACTTTGAAAGGTAAACAGTGTATATATACATCTTTGAGATTGTTTTCTATCAGTGTTGTCTGAGTAACTGCCATTGAAGTGTCCCTGCCTATAGCAGGGGGGTTGGAACTAGGTGATCTTAAGTGTCCCTTCCTACCCAAACCTTGTTCTGTGATTCTAAGTCAAAGTAGAAGTGCTTAAAAAGCTCAAATGCAATATTTAGGTTTCATAAGCAGCTTGCTCTGTTTGTGGGATATATTTGTGGACTTAGCGGATCATATTTAAATAATTTATTCTGAAGTAGTCATTAGCTGTGCAAAACCCAGTTTATGTTAAAAATTCAGTTTTCTCCCTGCAGAAACTCAGTGTCACTCTTGCTTTATTATTTATCAGTAAATTATGAATCAAATGTTCTCACTTTACCACTAACGGCTTTTTTAAAAGACAATAAAATTATACAGTGGCTTTCAGAATTATATTTAGTCAACTATTAGGTTGATGATTGAGTCAGAAAGTGCTTCAGCTTGCTTCTAGAGCTGTGTGGGTTGTGCAAGGCAAACAGGTTACCAGTCTTGCACATTTATTTCTAGGAGAGCAGATGGGAGATGTGTGCAAGGTAGAGCAGATCTGCTGGGTAAAAACTAAAGCAACCTATCCAGTCTATCTGGCAATTTGCCATAATCACTTTTCAAGGTAAACTTGTACAACTTCTGAAGATTTAATAGTGTACAAAGTTTTTTTTTTTTTTTTTTTTTTTTTTTTTTAACTTCTGGCTGTGCTTGACTTAGTAAAAATGGAGTCCAACACAGACTTGTTGCTTGTATGCACCTGCCTCAAGACCAACATATTTCACTTCGTAAGTCCTAATACTTTATGAATGCATTTTGGTTGCTGTAAGCAAGGTTTGAAATGTTACCACCCAACCCCACCTTCTGCTTCTAAAGGAAAGAACTTAAAAGCTGCCTTCATGTACTACCTGGAAGGGTTGCATGGGCACTGGAGGTAAATTCACACAGCTACTCAAGGCTTTGTGTACAACTAGGAATGCACAGTGTGTTGTTATCAGAAAGCTGTATCTCTTGCAGAACATCAAAACTTGATTAAATTGTGGGGAAGGAGGAAGTGATGAACTACTATAAGTAATTCATGCACAATCATTTGTAGAGCATTTTATGTCAACTATAACTGTCTAGTGTGTGCTAGCAGAATATAAATCTCCTGGTCAAAAGAAAAGAAATCTTTATATAATATACTTTACTGTTGCAGTAGCAGTTAAGGTTAAACAAGTATATTTATACTGTCCCCACAGTTTCCAGTTGATAATGAAAGCTTTTTATCATTTCAGCTGAAATTTTCTGCTCTGTCCTTCATATCATATCCTTCCATATCATACCATGATTTGTGGGGAGTTCTTTCAGTCTTGTGCTTTCAGCTAAACTATTTCATTTATAGTTTTCCAATCTTGCAAATTATAATTGGAAAGAAATTTTTAGATGTATGTTTCCTTGCCCATCGTACTTGAAAAAAAATCCCCTCCATTGTGTTTTTGTTTTTTTTTTCTTTCCTTTTTTTTTTTTTCAATCTCTTCAACCTGAAGACTTTTTTTGTTGTTGTTGTTTTGGTGCCATTTCTGCTCTACTTCTAGTAACTTGAGTTCACCAGCTTGTAGCCAAACACTAAGGCTTTAACTACCTTTTGAGAGCAAGTTCAACAACGTAGTTTATTTGGTTCCTATGCAGTACTGTTCCATGCGATATTTCTGTAAGCCATAGTTGTTGTTGTAACTAAGAATGTGAACTGAGATACAGGTGTACAGAAGAACGTGACCTAACCAACACATTGGTGAGTCTTTGAAGCTCCAGGGGACAGAATGGCAAACTTCTTGCTATGGATTCATCTGATGCTGAGACCTAAGGAGCCGTGCAGTACAAGAAAGACTATTTTGTATTAAGTAGAACTTCAGATGAAAATCTGTGTACTTTCTGCTTAAGAGCACTGTTCAGTCAGTCCTAAGCCTGTCAGTTAAATTAAGAACTGGATTTGCTGAATCCAGCTCTTAAGTGATGGTCATAACCCCCATCTATCTTTTGCACAGGGATGCAGAACTGCTCTTAGCATTGCCCTGTGCTTAGGTTTGCCTGTGCTGCCCCTCTCAGATGCATTAATTTTGTGTGTTTGGCAATTGCACAGCTTTCTTAGGAGAACAGGAAACGTCCCTATTCCTACAGTCTTTACCTGGTGACTCAAGCACTGCCAATGTGGGGCATGAAAGCACTACTTTTAAAATTGAGCTTAATTAACTTATGGAAGGGATTAGAGGAGAGAGGGCTGTAAGGATTGGTGTCTGCATCCCTGGTGTTGCAAGCTTGATGTTCCTATTTCAGCTTAATGTAATTTAGTGTCTGACTGGATAACCTCATTATGCTGCTACAGGACTGCCAACCCTTACTGCCTCCTTCCCACCCCCACTACTTAAGAAATAAAATAAATACTTGAAACTTGCAGCAAAAGAGGAAGATCGTTTAAAAGCCAGGCTAATGACTGCATGGGACTGCAAAGCTTATTGCATTATGTGAGGAAGATGACCCAGGATGTGCACTGTAATGCTTAAGAGTATTCCATATGATGTGGGATGGTGAAATCAGTCATGTAGAGAAAGACAAAGAATATAGGGGTGAAGAATCCTGACAGCTGTCAGTGGATGTGCTTCTAAAGGAATTAGCTGTCAGTGGATGTGCTTCTAAAGGAATTAGCTGTCACGCCATCACTTTGGCCTTGTTTTCCAAGTGTCCTGTCTGAACAGCCATTGCTTTAACTATCATGGTTGTATATACATAGATTCATTTTCTTGTGGTATCCAAACTAGCATATTGACCTGAAGTAGTCATGACTGAGCTCTGTGCATTTCCATTACAACTGAGGGTAGGGAGTTAATTGAAGTCACTATATGGTAATTCCTACCAAACAGGTTAGTCTGGCTTTAAATTGCTGATGTTGGTTGAATATGTCTTGTGAGCTTGCCTTCCCTTTCTACTTTTGTCCTAGGTCCAACACGAAAAATGCCCTTGACTGCCAGTGCCATGGACTTTTTTCAACTCTTTGTCCCCGACAACGTACTAAAAAACATGGTGGTACAAACCAACATGTATGCCAAGAAGTACCAGGAGAGATTTGGTAGTGACGATACCTGGATTGATGTCACCTTGACGGAAATGAAGGCTTTCCTAGGCTATATGATATCGACCAGCATCCACCACTGTGAGTCTGTTCTCAGCATATGGAGCAGCGGCTTCTATAGCAACAAGAGCATTGCACTTATCATGACACAATCACGGTTTGAGAAGATCCTGAAGTACTTCCACATTGTGGCCTTCCGCTCGAGCCAGACAACGCATGGACTCTACAAAATCCAGCCTTTCCTGGACTCTCTGCAGAATGGCTTTGACTCTGCTTTTAGACCTTCACAAGCCCAGGTAAGAGTTAATCTCTTTGTGAGGAACATAACCTACATTCTCTGGGTTTTGTTGCTGTGTCTGAAAATGCAAAGCACAGCTGCCTGTGAAAAGAGCTAGGGATTCACACTTCTAGCGACTGCTAGCAATGACCAGCCTAACCTCGTTGGTAGGTGCTTGCCATATGGTCCAGGCCCTCCTGGGAAGTAGCAGCACTACAGCTATCTCCACACAAATGGGTAAAGAGCAAATAAGCAGGGCATTGGTGACTTTCCTTGCTGCTGTTGTCAGTTGTCCTCAACAACACTGCCTATGCCTTGTGCTGGTCCTGGTTTTTGATGATGGGTGATGCTCCTGTGGAAGAATTTATTGCTGTGTATGTATCCAACCAAAGTGTCAGTATTTCTAGACGACCAGAAATAAAATAAGCAGGTCTCTAATGAATATTCATTTCTAGTTACTAGTATGTGCATAGCAGAAAGCCATTTTGGAGGGAGGCTGCTCTGGAGACTAGGCAAACAGTGTAAGGAACTAAAGATAGAAGCTTATGGAGCTAGTAGTCTGACTACAGCATATAGTTGAAAAAATGATTTTTTTAAGTGCAAAAAAATATTTTCTTAATGTTTACGATATGCTTGTTTAAACTTTGATCTGCCACAAATAATCTCCTTTTGGAACTGCTGCTACTGGTCACGTTTAAAAGTTTGGAAAGAAAACAGAGTAACAGTGAAATATGTGACTATTTGAAATAGCTTCTCAATCAGATCTCTATTTTCAGGATATACGCTGAGTTCACACAGTCATTGGGAAATGTTGTTAGGTGCACCTTCTTCCCATTTTCATGTTAAAACATTAGGCTTTTGTTCACAGCATACAAAAAATGGAGACATAGATACACCTTATCAATGGAAGTATGCCTAAAAATATGATTAGGAGTGACCAGGGAATAATCAAAGGTTTTTTTTTCTATTTTACATAAAGTAAAAATCATATCTCTGTAATCCAGGACAACTCAGCTTCCTGAAAAGCAATAAATGCAGAGAAGGGAAGCAGAAGTGGTTTTGCTAAGCCATGCTAGCAAGGTGCATTTCCATTAAGACAAAACAGGCAGTTAAAGACATGGTATTGTTGGGATGAAACTCTCATTAAGATGTGAAATCTAATCCTTCTGGGCACTAACTTCAATGGGCATAAGATAAAGGGTTCAGAAATGTGATCACAGTGTCTAATTGTAAATGCTTATAATGGTGCTGTGGGACATGGTGAGAGTGCAAATCCATTAAAGAATAAAATTTGATTTGCATGTATATCCTTTCTCCCTTCCCCTCTCCCAAACAAGGTTTGAGAACTGAATTGATAAGTCCCATTTGCAGTGATAAAACCTCTAAATTTCCACAAGCAAAATGTGTGATTGTATTAGGCTTGGTAAGGAGATACTACTTTAAGGAAAAAAAAGAAAAAAAAAGAAGAAAAAGTGATAATCCAGTTCTCTTCTTTCCCTTCCACTTCTGTGCCCCAGTTCAGTGTTTACGTCAGTGATTTCTATACAACATGTGTTGGTGGTATTGAGCGGAACAAAAAGCACTAAAATACCGCTTCAAAAATAACTCAGAGAAAGAAAAAGGGTTTGAATTTGTTGTTAAAAATAGTCTGGCGTAGCTTCAGTAGCCTACTGGGGGATGTTCCAGGCCTCCTTTCCAGAGGAGCCTTGTTGCCCTTCAGGGTGTAATCAGGAGGAGCTGCATACTCCCTGTCTCAAGAGATGCGGACCCCATCTGCTCAAAGCTGCAGGAAAGGCTCTGGAAATTAGATCCTGAGTACAGATTAGCAGACAGCAATAACCATCAATCCCAGAATGACAGACCCACTGAGGTTAGAAATAATTCAGCTTCACAAAAACAAAGGGAAAACACAAGGGGAAGGGCCGTACAGATGGGCTTTCAGATGTGCTGCCTCTGAAAGCATTTTGGCAAGAGGTGCCCGGATTTCTGCAGTCAGTAATACATGGAATCCTAAGTTCAAAATGCATCTGTAGCTTAAGGGGCACCTGTGTTTTAGACATGAAACTTGGTATCCAGATGGTTTGTGCCAGGGCTGCAGTCAGTGCTCAAGCTTTAGGCCAGTGTTTTCTAAATGCCATCAAGCAGAGGAATTACTTGCTCCATTTTGTTGAATGCACTGAGGTTGTTTGGGCTTCTGGGTAGTCTTTTTACTGACTTTCTTCTGCTAGCAATCTGGGTTGGGACAATGCCATGCTTAACACACTCCTATGGACTTTGTTGGTAGTCTTGGTGCCAGGCAGGCAGTGTGGCATCCACCTTCATTGTTATTTCTTCTGTAGCTTTGATCTTCTCATTTTGGAGAGCTAGAAAAGACTCTTAAAATGGAGTTTCTATCAGAAAATATTTAGCTGGGTTTTTTTCTTCCATGCAACCCCCCAAAAAAATGTGCATGAAAAAATGACACTGAGCTTTTTATGAAAGGGAACTGAGAGGAGGGAAATATCTATGCCAATATACTAAAACAAAGAAAAACATCTAGTGAGTTATAATTATTTTGCTCAATATACTGAGCAAACAGAGGGAAATAATTACTTTCTAGCCTACAAAGGCACTGGAAGTCCAGAACATTTTAATTGTGTAAGCGCAGGCTTCAATTTTGGAGATAAAAGAAATAGTGTTCTGACCTAGATTGCATAAGAATTATGGGAATAATCTGTGCATCCTATCCCTCCCTGACAATTCATGTATAAATCACTGCTGTCTGTACCTGAACAACAAGAGGTGAATTTAGGGGTCCAGTTCCTGGAATCGGTATCATCTCCTTGCTAGTTGGGTCCCCGTAGCTTTGTAGCTAGGCTACTAACTGCAAGTGAAAGCCTGAGAACAGAGAACATGCCCTGAGTGAGCTCAGAAAGTATACTGCAACAAATTCAAGGGTACTCACCTACCAAGGGTATAGCCTGAATTCCAGAAAGCAGAGGAGCTTGGAAAAATATCATTACTGCTTAAATATCCTTCTGTGCCTGCTGAGTATTTATATGCTTGTCAGCAGGATGTGGCTAGACAAGATTACTGTCTCCTGACCAGCATGGGAGAGGTCAAGAGCACAACTCGGTGCACTCTCCTTATCCTTCTCCTTGGCATCTTGGAACCAGACATTTCTGCATCCACCCAGTGAAACCAGCTGGGAGCAGTTAAACACGTTCGTGTAGCTGACTAAAGTCCTTACTCCAGGCAGTAAAGAACTCCCTAGCAAAAACAGACGTAATTCTAACCTCATGCTCCAGAGGCAGTGCCATTCTAATTTGGCTAGTTACTAAGGGGCTTGTTGATTTTCATTCTTGGTGGTATTGCAGTTCTTCCAAAGCAGCTCACAGCACTAGGCAGCAATTTCTCTGAAAACATAAAGATGTTAAAATAGGCTGATTAAATTGTAGCTATTTTGTGTCCACGTGATTAAATGTTATTTGGTACCTGGTATTTCTGAATTAAAAGATTTTGCTCAAGTCATAGCATAGCTTAGATTGAAAGGGACCTTACAGGCCCCATCCAACTCTGCCTTAAATGCCCCCAGAGAAAGGGTATTCATAAAAAAGCAACCTGTTCCAGGACCTCACCACCAACTTGAGTAAAAAAAATTTCTTCCTAACTTCCAACCTAAGTCTGCTGTCTTTTAGTTAAAAGCCATTCCCCCTTGTCTTATCACTGTCAGACCACGTAAAAAATGAGTTCCCCTTCTGCTTGTGAGCTCCCCTCAAGTACTGAAAGGCTGCAGTGACATGTCCATTCTCAGTATCCCCATATAGAAAAGATCCTTTGTGTGTAAAGATCCTGGTTGTAGATCAGGACTCTGTTTTCTAGGGGTTCTGTGTGCATAGCACAAAGATCCTAAGTGTTCAAATGATGTCAGCCAAGACATGGAGCAAGACAAAAACAGGCAAAGTAACAATTAGAATATTAAACTTCTGATATAGATCTTGGCCAGTTGATTCTCTGGTGAAGCCAGAATTTACGGAGAGTTTGATAGCAGAAATTCATGAAGTTTGTAGCTATTTTTAAATGACCTCCTGGCTGTGGAGTGCTTTAAGAAGTGATTTTTTCTTTTTAGTTATTTTAAGCAAGTCAATTGAAGACTGAGCAAACAGGCAGAAAATCTTGAGAAGAGCTTGAAATCATGGCTCCACTGGAGGTGGCAGTTAACCTTTAAACAATGGCAAAGAAAATCAGTAAAATATAGAAGTGTTGAACAGGACTTGGAAAATGAATGAGTCTTTCTGTACTACTGGAGAAAGAGAGCCATTAGAGAGAAACACAGAGAGGAGAGACTGCCTAGTGTGATGGCCTAGCAGAATGGCTTCCCGGCAGGAATCGTTAGAGCAGGATTGCCTTGTGTTGAGACCAAACTGCTGCGGGGTGGCTCTGACCTTGATTGGAGTGGGTGGGTTGAAAAAACTATGTATTGCAGAACTTTTACTAAGGAAGCATGGAAAAAAATGGAGGCATTGCTTAACTCAGAGTATCATGCAAGGAGCTGCAGTAAAAGTGGCGTTCACATGCACAAGCCAGCAAGATCTACTGCAGAGGAAGGGGAATGACTACTAAGACCAAAAAAAGGAGATAGCAAGGGGTTATCTTAAGGGGAAAGAGATGATCTCAAATGTAGCATAACATAACTAGAACTGACAGATATCCAAGCAGAGATGTCAGATGCTAGCAGAGGATTTAGTTTAGATGGAAGGAGCTCTAGAGCAAAGAAGCAGAAAAGCAAGGAACTGATGCAGAAGCAATAGTTGAATCTGTATACACAGGTGCAGCTCCCCAAGGGACCCTGTTCACAGCTGGATGGTACCTACCAAAAGCCAGAGATGAGACAGGCTGAGGCAGTTCCTCCAGGGGACAGACTGAAAAGACAGCCTCTAGTAGGGATGGCTACAGAAATAAGGGAAGATAAGCTATAAAAGACACATCCAAGGCAGTGAGAGTCCAACAAGTCTGACAACAGTAGAGTTAGTGGCTCTTTGACTACAGGCTATTTGGGCTGCAGTGAACAGCATTGCGGAATGGAAGGAACTTTAGAGGTGATCTAGAATGGAGAAGGAAGACACCCTGTGGGCAGTGACTACCTGCTATGTTCAGCAAAGAAAGATTTTGTGAGATGGAGTAAAATTACTGGATAGACAAGACTAAGATGGGAATCCCAACATTTGGAGTGCATATACTTATGGAGGAGAAAATGAAATCTTAGCAAGAAGACCTGGCAGTGATGAAGATGGCTGTAAACAGAATGATAAACAATGGATAGCTGAGAGGGAGTGAAACAGCTAGATGAGAAGCTCCTTAACAAAATGGGATTTGAGAGAAGAAAATGGGAGAAATTTCTGTGAAGAAATCCGCAAGGTATCTTGCATCAATAGAAGTCAGAGTAGGAAGAAGATAAAGCTTGGAGAGTGAGTCAAAGATGATGAAAAGGCTGCCAGGGACGTGTGTGGGAGTCAATTAAGCCTGAAAGTAGATTTTATCTAGGAAGATGAGAAACAGGAAAGAATATGTCGTGGGGGCAGTAAGCCTGCTTTTGGAAAAGAGCACTGCAGAGACAGCAAGAACATAGAAGGGGAAGGGGGAAATACCACTTTGCATGGGGATCTGGCAAAAACATTGTTTGAGTTGGGGGAGGGAAGATAGACTAATAGGGTTGACCAGGGGCAACAGAAGTAACTTTTCTCAAAAGGAAGATATTCCAGTGCCAGAAGCAATGAACTGACCCCTTTGAAAGACAGGTGGGGATCAGCTGTCCCAGCAGCAGGCATGACCCATACAGCACTGTGCATGCGAACTCCTTTACAGCTACTGAAGCAGTGTTTGCACACTGGGGTGGTAACACTTGTCTCCCCACTTTCTCTGGAAGAAAGAAGAAGCGCAAGCTCCAAAGTTGCCATTTCAATTTCCCTGCCTGTCCTTACTCCCTTGTTTCAGCAAGAACAAATCCCTACCTTGTTTCCATTTGTTGTCCCTTCTCCCAGATATTCAGTAGGAACTTCTGTAGAGCTTTCATCTTTTGGAGAAATAGGAATGTCTTAAAATATTGAGTCACAGAAAGAAAGTCTTGGGAACTAGAGGAAGGCTGGTCTGAGCATAAAAATGGATAAAGGAAGCATGAGATGTTTTCAGAATTCAGGTTTACTTCTTACATTTACAGCTGACAGGTTTTACTTGGCACTGGAAGGTAGAAAAAGGGCAAAGGGTGTAAACAGAATGCAGTAAAGCGCTGTGAGGAGAACTGATGCTGTCATGCAGCATGACAAATGACCCTTGAAGCAGACTGTTCTTTCTGCTGTTCGCCATCCCCCAGAAGGAGACATTACAGCAGTTGAACCTGGTAAGAGGGTCTTTCCAGAAGCTGACAAATTTCTACCAGTTTATCCAACACCATCCCAATGTATGCGGTCCTCCTATCTGCCCAGCAGAGACAGAAAGACAAACAAAAGGACTAAGGACATGGATAACATTTGCAAAACACTGTCAGAATTCCTTGAGATCAAAGTGTGAAACATCCCAGGTGGCATTCAGGAAAGAAGAGCAGTATTTCTTGTGGATCTTGAGAGAGGAATGGGAATGTGCTCCAGTGAGGTAATGGGGAAGCTGCAGCTTTAAGAACGAATATCTTTGTCTGCAACACTCCTTGCTTGCATCTGCATTTTGGTGTACAATTTGGACATTTCACAAGAGTGATTTCAGATGGTCCTGTGAATGTTTTATAAGCCGTTAAGAAGTGGAGTATATATAAATGAAAGTGTGCCGCTGCTGCGCAGAGAGAGCTCTGATGCCTATTTTGGGCTGCCAGAGTAATGTTCAACAAGCATCTTGCATTCAGAAGGGCAGCAGCTGCTCATCAGTGGTGCTTAACTGCTTACCTACCACTTCTACACAGATTTAATGCAGCATTCTGCTCATTTTCACCACCAGATGCATGCAGATGTGCGCATAATGGAAAGGGTCTGTTTAAGGGTGACAGCCTCTGCCTTGTGGATGTTTGTATCCAAGCCCTATCTCTGTGAGGTGATGGTTACTGGAAAAAAGCGTACTCCTTTGGGCATAACGCAAAGATGAGCATTATGTATCTGACTTATTTACAGAAGTCTTTGAGAGAATATAAATTATGTTCCTCTGGGATGCTTTCCCCTGAAGTACTAGGTTGGGAGCCTCCAGTGCCTTGCTATAATTTAGATGCAGTTGTCTGAGTTTGGTCAGGAGAAACCCTCTTTCCTCAGTTGAGATCTTTCAGCAACTTGAGAGCGTGTCTCAGAAGTGTCTTGCTAGGCAATCCGCACACTGCATAGTCAGGAATGTGTGTGCAGCTACCCTTAAGCTGCGAGGAAGTAGCAGTGCTTTTCTATAGGTAGGCTCTGTGGCATAAAACCTAATCATTTTGGTACAGAATTAATGGCCAGAAATGTAGTAAAACAGCTATAAGCAAGAGGATGCAGAATGCAAATATTGCTTAGATTCCATAGCTTTTCATTACTTTCTCCAGTCTATCTTGTGTTTTTCTATTCCTCTCTGTAGTCTTTTATGTTTCCATCTCCTTTTGTCAAATTTTTCAGCTCTTGAGGCAAGAGAGCCATCCCTGAAGCTGCTGCCACCAGGAAAATTATTTTCTATTTCTTCACCACCTCCACAATTGGCAGCAAATACCTTTTTCTCTCTTCTTTCATTCTTTGCTGTGTGTTTTCTGTTTGCTGTAGGAAAGGAGAGTACCTTACAACAAATTGTAAGGGGTATTTGGGTGGAACACGTTCTGCCAAACAAAATGAATCAGATGATGAAGCTTGCAGAGGCATGACGCAATTCCCCAATAAACCTCAACGCTGTCCCATTTTGGAGCATATAGCTTATAGTGGTAGAGGGACACATTTTGGAGGAATGTTAAACTGTATCTCATGGTGAGAAGCAGAGAGCCATGCCTCGATCCTTGCATACAGTCCTTGCAAGCTGTATGTAGAGTAGCCATGCACAGAAGAGTGCTTGTCCAGGCTTTGTTTTTGTTGTTTTTTTTTGGTTGAGTAGCAGTACTGAAAAAAAGTAGCTTTTCACCTTTGTATGAAATGTTGCACACAAGCATAAGGCAAAAATTGTTGTTCCTTGGAAGACTTTAAAGCACTATTTCTTTTCAATAATCATGAACTCTTCTGTTTTCTTTTTTCACCTTCTTTTCTGTCTAATTGCAGGTTCTGCATGAGCCCCTGATTGATGAGGATCCTGTTTTCATTGCCACGTGCACAGAGAGGGAGCTGCGCAAGAGGAAAAAAAGGAAATTCAGCCTCTGGGTTCGTCAGTGCTCATCCACTGGTTTCATCTGCCAGGTGGGTTTCACTTCTTCAGACGTCTTGATTTGGTTCCTAGCTGTCCCTCAGATGCACTGCAAAATCAGTGGTAACAGATGCTTCTATCCATAACCATGCCATGGTCTACAGTCAGAGTACAGCAAAGATTCTAGTTCTCAGATACTTGATCCCAAGGGCGGTGATGACAAGTTTCTGATGCTCTGATTGCTTGATGATTTAACTGAAGATTCCTGTCTGTAACATGATCTGACTGGCTGCCGTCCCTAAGCTAATTAAATTGAAAAAGAACTAAAGGGTCTGTTTGTACATCTTAAGTTTATTGAAAGGTCTAGGAACTGTGACTCTTGTCCTTTTTAATGGACCAGATTCTTTCTCAAAGTATAATACTGTCTGTGATAGCCAGCCGTGTCCAATAGACTAAGTCAGGATGGTATAAAGATGTCCATTTTTTCTGTGAGAAATGTATTAACAGGGTTTTCTTTTACATCTCTTTTTATACCTCTACCAAAGAAATTAAATCACATATGACCTCAAGATGAAATATGAGCTTCGGTGGAAGATGTGGTAAGGGATCTGTATTTAGCACTGCAAAGCACTGTGGACTAATTCTCAAATTCTTAGATTCCTCATCTGCTGGTGTGTTTTTGAGCACTCATCAAAATCTGCCCAGTTATTTTGATACCTAGAGGTGAGGAAGCAGGTAGATTCTGATATTTCTTTTTCCCGACAGCTTTTGGTGTCCTGCATGCTCCAGAGCAGCTATGCTGAGGTGCCAGTAGAACTTGCACACAGACTGCTCGGACTTGAATGCATGTAGTGCTGTACAGCCTGTGGATTTGCTGTAGTTGAATATGCACACTGACCTGTGAATCACTGCAACATTTGAGTAGCAATGTAGCAGAAGTCTGTCTGGGAACAGATGTTTGCACTTCCAGTAGTGCTTTTCTCTGCAGGAGGAAAATGAGGATCATACATCTTCTGTCCAAGTTTTAAAGCAGTTATTTTGTCCAACACAAAATAGATTCATGCTGTGAAGCATCCTTGGAAATTTCCACTCTCGAGTCTTTTTGAAAAACATTTGCTCTACAGAGGTAGTGTCCTTTATCTCCAAGGTGAACTCCACTTGTCCCAGACATAGCTTATCACTCCGAAGTGTAATGGTGAATGCAGTGCTAACAGTGAGCACAAAGTTTGCTGATCTCTCTTGTCATGTTTTCCACAGCCAACTACCACTGAATAACTAAGTCTTCAGACATGCCAGAGGTTTCAGATGCTGAGCTGTAATTATGTTACATCTCCCTTCCTGTCCTTTGAGAGAGTAAATTAATGAAATGTCATGGAAACAGAGTAGATGCTCAGTACCACCCTAATCCTCTTGCTCCATTAATAAAATAGATACTTAAGCTTCTCTTGCATCCAAATGACGTCTAGGATTTTCTTAACAGCCTTCTATTTTCATTCCATGATTTGGCTCTGATTATCACAGTGATAAAATGATTGGTGAGAGCAACCTTAGAGAAATATGAAAAAGAATATAAAGGAACATGAACATTCCTTCTAAAATGGAAATACCTAGTCTGAGAAGGAGGAAGGTCTTCAACTAGTACATGCTTGAAATACTGTGTTCAGTTACATATTGCTATTACAAAGGATCATAAGTACTAAAGTACTTGTTTGGTGGTTGGATTATTTGCTGTGCTAAAAAGAGCTTTTTATTTGTTTAAAATATTGAGAGAATTGATCTAATCAAGAAGATAATCCAGTATTTAAGGACTGACTGGTTTGTCACTTGTCTGCTGTCAAAGAATTTACACCTACTTGGAAATACGTACAAATTTTTTAGCACTCTGGATGAAGTTCTCCCCTCATCCTTTCTGCAGTGACATCAGAGGTCATGTTATTTGGAATAAAATATAACACTGAACACTTTATAAATCAAGCTAACGAAGTTAACTGAAGTCTGAAAAATGCATAGCTGTGAAAGGGTGAGGCAGTCCTGACAAAAGAGGGAGCTAAACAATGTATGACTTCGGGATAGAAGCAATCTCAAGAGGTTCATGACACTCCTGGCCAAGGTCTTATAAGCCTAAGTGATTAGTCTGATGATAAAAACCTCCATTTAGGAAAATCTAGTTTTCCAGCAATCTGATTTTCCTACTATGTAAAGGTTTAGTTTATTTTCCTTATTATAAAATTGGTATCAGTGCTTTGAAGAAAGACATATACTTACATGTTCTCTCTTGATAATGTTGCACTTGGTAGCACTAGCACTTGTGTTATGTTATTCAGGACAACACAGGTAGATCCAAATACAATCATATATATTGAATGATCACTCATTTTCTTTCCCTACATACCACTAAGATTCCTTTCAAACTAATATTTTAATATCCCAATTCCAAATTAAATGTCTGCAGTAGCTAAGGAGTGTTTCCTTTCTAGAGTATTTGCTGAGTAAGTCTTTAAATCAAAGCTGTAGATGTGTCAGATTTTTTTCTCTCAAGAAGTCTGGAGCACTTGTTCGTAAAAGACATGCATGAATATGATTAGCAGATCTCTCTTTATATATACATTATAGATATATATGAATAGAGCTTGTAATAAGAACTGATGAGAGTTCCCAAATATTCAGGGTTAGTTATTTTGTGCTGACACATCATGTTTTCTCTTTCTAGAATCATAGAATCATTAAAGTTGGAACAGACCGCTAAGATTAAGTCCAACTGTCAACCTGTCAACCCATCCCCACTGTGTGCACTAACCATGTCCCTCACTGCCACATCCACACATTTTTGAGCACCTCCAGGAAAGGTGACTCCACCTGAGGAGTCCACTCCACTCCTGAGAAGGTGGAGTCCGCTCTACTCCCTGGGCAACTTGTTTCAATGTCCCACCACTCCTTCTGAGAAGAAATTTTCCCAAATATCCAATTCTTGCTTGTGTGTAGCACATAAGGAACAAACAAGAGTATTTCCTGGTCTTGTAGATGGAGAAGAAAGCACTAACAGCTGGTGCCTTGCATGGAACACTATGGAGCCAGGCAGGATAAAAGTATTCTGATAGAGCCTATTCCAGTACTACAGGGCCATGGCACAAGGACAACCAAAAAGGCAGTCCCCAGCATCATCAATCAACAAAATGAAGGCCATATATAGACAGTAGAGAGTACTGCAACAGTTTGGTTGGGCAGTATTAATCTCTATGATAGGTGGTAATGGAATTAGCTCATCAACCTAATTATTTGCTTAGAAAACTATGAAATTAAGAAAAAAGGTGAGGAAAGACTACTTTTTGGATGTGTATATGTTTCGTGTTCTTTATGATGAAATTTGTTCGCTGAGGCTATTCTGTGCAATCTTCCCTTCCCGCTTTCCATCCTGCCTCAACTCTACAGGTTCTGCACTTGGTTCTATTTTCTGTCTATATGGGAAAAAGTTCTGGAAGTAATGCATTTCATTTTCAATACTATCATTGTGAAGTGTCTCTGTCAGATTTATGAAGTTCTTTAGAACTTTGTACTGAGACTGAACTTAAATTTCCACCTTCCTCTGCTCATCCCGAAGAAGGGATGAGTCAGAAAAGATTCAGAAAAAGAATTGTGTGCGTCTCTGCAGCTCAAGCCTTCCCACATTGCGGTATCTAATGAGTGTACACCAGACTGAGGTGGTCCCTATTTGAGAGGTAAGGCAACAACTCCCTGAAGGGCTACACTGCGCTGCCTGAAAGCACTCCACAGACCAGTGGTAGGGCTGGGAATAAATCTCGGCTCTCCTAACTCAGGCAGTGTCATATCTGTTGTCTTTTGCTGCTTTTTCTGCTTCAGCATGTCTTTATTACCTTATTGCATGTCTTTGTTGCATCATTCAGTTGCAGCAAAAAAATGAAAACAATGCAAATATTGCAGTTGTGTAATAAATGCTGTAGTTCATTCCTGATGCCAAATAGAGTGGGTACAGTTAGCTTGAGTATTTCATAGCTCTGCTGATTTCACTGGCTAAGAGCTCCCAGAATTCATGGAAACTGAGAAGATACCCCCAACAGTTCATGATTTTGCAATACATCATGTAAGTGAATTCAGTCTCTGTTAAGCTATAACTGTTTTTGCCCATTTCCTTTGGAAAGGGAAAAGCAAAGAGTAAATATGCCTGGGATTAATGTGGTTCTCAAGGTCAGAATTGTGGGAGCATTAGCCATCTGTGCATTTGTTTAGCAAAGCTGCTCAGAAATGTTGGTGTTTCAGCCTATTTAAGTTCTGTTTTGATATTAGCCTGAGCCAAGGGGTTTCTTTAAACAGCACCCTGATAATTTCTCTGTCACTGAAATAGTTGCATCTGAAATGCACAGATGTAGCAGCTGCTTTGAACAAGTCCTCAAGGTCAGGTTTTGTCTGGGAGGGAATCCCAGGAAATCTGATCACCTTCATTTGCCATTCACTCTTGGCTGGAAAATCCTATCTGCTTTCTCCCTTTGGCTCCCACCAGCTCTGTCTTTTTAATGCATGTGATTCTGTGTTGTCAGCATCTGAGAATCTCAGATCTCAATTAAAAGTCTCTAATCCTCTTACTCTCCAGTGTTATGCAGGAAGGTAGTTTTGCAGATGTGTGGTGGGCCAGCCCTGTTTGTTTCTCTAGAGTTCAAAAGCTTACTGTCTTTCTTACTTACTTTCTTTTCCTATGAATGGGAAAAACAAACATTTAAATGTGTCTTAATGCAGAGATTCCTCCCAGAGTTGGCCCATGGTCTCAATGTCAGTTGTGAGCTGGGAAGGAATGTTACTATTTAGTTCCAGTCTGTAGTGCATGGGGATTTAATGATGCTGTTCACAACTCGCAGATCAGTGCTGTAGTCCTCTTTTTGCAGCTGTTCTCACTCATTCTCTGCCTGAAAAAGGAGGATAAAAGCTATGGGTCTGCTTCACTCTCTCGATTAACAGTATTGCCACAGGAACTTCACTCACACATCCTACCCCATGTGCTAGGTGCTGTAGGCAGAACAAGAAGTTCAATATCTAAGCACGA